TCTTTCCCTGTAGAAGGAAGAGACCATATTTTTCCATATTTTTCCTGAAGACTAACTACTTGAAGTTTAATTTAATAATTCTGTCACAGACTGTTGTTTTTAACCTTATCAGGGGACCACACTGTGAGTCAGTTTAAACTTACATAGTGTCTCTGATGCTCATTGTGCGCTTTTGATTTATTTGATTCAATGATGATGAATTGTGAACTAGACAGGAGAACTCTGCTTGAAGAACTCTGCCACTCACTTGTTATGTGGCTTTAATAAACGTAATACTAATTAATAATACAAATTTAGGCAATATTGACCTCTTCTATATGTAGTGTTATATGATTAAATTGTCATCTGCTCTGGATTTTTTCATTGCACTCTGGTATCTTTATAGAGACCAAATGCAGTTTGGATATCTTAGGAGATCTGCAAACCGTTGTTGAAAAGCAGCACATTATTATAACTATCTTAGTGTGTGTTGTGGTGAACTTTATAAGATAAAAGCTTTTATGCTGGCTTGTTGGAGTAGACCTTGTTCTTGTTTGCAGACCAGTACAAAAGAAGTCATGAACAGCAGAAATAAAAGGCCTCAGTGATGATAAATAAATCAAGCCTTCACATTTACTAAATTTTCCTGGTGTAATTCCAGAAAAAAGTCAAAATAAGCAGAAATACCAAAGACCTTCTTTGTTCTTACGCATTTTCAAAACAGTTATGTTAGATATTTCTGTATATTGCATTGAAAACTTATTCTTGCTTATGGAGCCTGAGCATCCTAGATTATGTAAAGGCATTTCTTAAAAGACAAAATCCATCTGCCTTTGGAGGAATGTTTTTCTATATTTCTACTATTGTTTCCAAATCGTTTCTTCTGTTTGGATATGTTTCCAATTATTCCTATCAGTGGTTTTAGTTACATTTGATAGAGTAAGAAAAACTTTAGATATACTTCCACTAGATTTTTAAGTATATCTGATTTGTCTGTTTTAAAGCAAAGCTTCAGGTTCATTTCATGGCAGTGTTTCTGTAAATGGCTTCTTGGTCAAAATTGTTGTAGACAGTGGTTTCAGCATTTTGTCAAAAGTTCACAGAATACACTCTAGATCTGGGAATTGGTATTTTTAGCTATTAAACTAATAATTTTAAAATATGTGAAGTATGTATGATACCCATGTGTCCAGAGAGGGATCAAGACTCCTGCTAAGGGTTTGGGCTCAATGAAGAGAGTATGTTGTATTATTGTCAGCTAATATCTGAAACTAGATACAATAGATCCTAACAAAGGATAGTAAAGACTGGATCATTGATAAGTTACAGGGGAGCATCAGTGTTGTGTGCATACACCTTTTTTGATGGTCTAGGACTTCTCATAACATTTTGCCCTTTTTTTTGTCTATGTATGATGCAGACTAGCTAATGGAAATAATGTAGAAATTGTTTCTGAGGTGGTTAGAGTAACACAGTAGAAAATGTGAAGGTGGTAGAAATCAGATAAGGAGAGGGAGAAGATGTAAATAAGTGAATGAAGTTGTAGCTTCACAGAAGAGCAGGCTTTTTCATATGACTGTCCACCTTACAGCCGTTACACTTTTTGAAGTCAGCTGTCTGATTAGCATTTTGTATGACTTTATCTGCAAAGAAACTTGAAGAAAGTCGGTTGTGTACATTTTGTCTTACATCTGCCAGTGTGTGTTAGTGTGTAATTCATTTGCCACACATTCCTCCTCAGCAATCACAAGAGACAGCTCTTCCCTTTTGTGGATTCAAGGCACTCCCTGTTTGTCACTCCTGGCTCTTGCTGACATCAAAATTAGGCTGCAAACATTGGGGCCCATACGCTTCAGTGCACTTCCTGTTAAAGGAGACAGAGCAGGAAATCTAGTGGATTTTAAACTAGATTCTGTTTTCCATTAATTGAAATTAATTTGGGATGCTAACTGGTGCGGACCGACCATGTCCCTATATATGTTGTTGATGTGTTTAGAAAGTCTAGAGAAGGTTTGTTGCAAGGTGACCAATGTCATGGGAAGAACAAAGGAAAGTGAATAATTCTCTGTCTGATCCAGTTAAGTGATGCTTACCAGTGTCAGGGAATCAGTTCAGTATGTTCAGTCTGTCTTTCTTTCTCCTCTGGAGAAGAATCTGAAGGTTCTAGAGTGCACAAGGTCACTCCTGGTGATGATGTGCTGAAGTATCTTGGGGGTGCTCGCAGGTTTGGTTATGATGATGTGGCTGCTGCAGGAGGGAGCTCTAGTGGGAGGGCTGGAACTACTTAGAATTTCTGCTAAAGTTACGAGAACACATCTGTCTGTGTTTTGTGTCTAGCTGTGACCTTTAGAGGAGCTACACTTAAAGAAGCACTCAGCCCACAACCTATGTGGCTTGGGAAACCAGATTTTGAACCCATGGAGAGAAATGTTACTCTCTCAAGCTGTAGTTAAGAGAGGCTCTGTAGCCAGTATTAAGAGATGGAGTGAGCTCCAGGCTCTCCTGGTAATGTTTTTCCTCAACTAGTGGCAGAATTCTAGTTCTGAGTCTTATTTTCCTGTAAGCTCACTCAGGGTAACAGTTAGTTTTAGATGCTAAGAAAGCCTTAACATTTAGTGAACAGATTGTAATAATACAGGAAATCTCTTTCACTGCCTCATTGCAATAGGATTAAAAAAGAATAGCCAACTAATAGCATTTTACTGCTTTCTAGCTGAGGTGGACTTTGTGTTGGAGGTGGCTATAAGCACAGTTTCCTTTTTTCTTGAAAGGTTTACAACAAAAATTGCTTTCACAGCTTGTCTTCAGCAGTTCACATTTTAAAAATCTGTAGACTTGTCACTGGAAGCTCAATTTGTACTTCCACAAAACGTACCCAGATTAGGTGCGCAACTTAGTTTACAAAAAAGTAATGATCTTTATTCTGAGGAAGAGAGATTTGCTCACCAAACTCCTCAAAGCAGGAAAGCGTAGAGGACAGTGAAGAAGAGAACAAAAGTTACTTGCTGTAATGTGGGTGCTTCCCTTTCTTGAGCTGTGTTCACAAGTTTGGTTTTATTGAACATCCTAGAGGAACTGAAGTTGTGTTTGTGTGTGCTGCTGAGAGCTTTGCCTGCTGAATGTTTGGCACCAAAAGGGAAAGGACAGAAGCTGTGAAACTACTCTGAAAAGCATTTCTCCTCCAAGATTCCTTGGCTTCAGAGAACTGGCGAATAATTTCCTTTCATGTCTCCTTCTACTCTATTTATCCCTGTGCGAATCCATCCTCTTATGAATATGAAAAGCACCAGCTGAGCCAGATATTTTTGTCATCCTTAACAAAGTGTTAACCCTGGCAGAACAAAAATTGAGACACAGAGTGTCAGTTTAAGTGCTAAGAGACACTGCCTGGACTGTTCTCTTTTATTCTATATTTCCAGAGAAGCCAATTCAGGGTACTTGCTGGGTTTCAGTTCCAGTCTCTAAGCAAGGCTCTTGGGGCAGTCTCTATGCCAAGGCAAAGGTAATCCTGATCAGGGTAGTTAGTAGATGTTTTATATCTGGGTGGGAAAGGAATCTGTTTTCATGACTAGGACCCTTCTTAGCCAAATCTCATAATGTCTTGTTGATGGGCAAAGAATAAGGTGATCTGTTGGACATTGTGTTTGATATGTGTATGTTCTTTGCAAATTGTCTTGTTATAGAGGCTGTAACTGTATTTTTGGTATGTTTACAGGGGTGACCCTTCAATTGTGAAATTGAATATTGCCATTACCACAGGCTACCTCATTTCTGGTAACTATGCAACATGTATATAACACACACAACCTGTATGTTTATATTGAGTTACAATTCCTATACCTGTATACTGAGCCACTGTGCTGGAGATGTGGTTTATGTATGCAATGCAGTTGGTACTGTGGCTTTTAGAAAAGCCAGAGTTGTGAGTTGTGGTGAAATCAGAAGATGTTGCCAGCTGTTGTGAAAGATGGAATGATATCTCCCCAAGCACTGAGGAAATGACACTGTGTGGCTTCATGATGGTTTGATACACAACCACCAACTCCAGCTTGGTTTTATCCTTCAGCAAACTGAGAAGGTGTTAAAGCAGTGCCCTTCACTCCCTTCAGAGTGCCTGCAACTTGTAATGCTTTTATATGTGTTTCTTCCTGAGATCTCTGAATGCTGGCAGAAGAATTTTAGTAACCTTCAATACAATAGTAACCTTCAATTTAAGCTAAAATTTAGTCATGTATAAAACGTGGAAATTTTAAATTATTTTCCTGGTATGGCATTTACCCCTGCATAATTGTTGTGTTCCTAATTATTTACTGACAACTAAAATTGGCGTGGGAATTTTGCTACAAAATGCTTTGGAGCTTTCTTTTATGGTTTGTGGGGATAACGATGACTTACCAAAGCAAAAACTTGTTGTGACTTGGACTGTTTTCAGGGAAAACTCCCATTAGGATGGAGTCTCTAGTTAGAGACTGGGCGATGGACTTCATTCTCTCTCTGACTAGATTTCTCACCCCAGTGGAATTGATAATCTGGTGATCAGCACACCCGGTTAAACTGTGGGTTAATTTAAGTCTCCTTTTTTCTATAAGAACTTCAGCTCCCATTATTAAATTCATTGGTACTATTTTTGAATAATTATGCATTAGGATTTCATTATGAATTAATGAATGCCTTTGAACAGAGACCTGAGCCTGGCCACTCATTCTCTCTCACTTATATAGTAAATGTTTAATTATTAATAGAAAGTAGAGTGTCTATGCCAGATGATATAAGAGTACTGCCTGAGGATAGCTAATATAAAAGACATCAAGGCACTCACTGGAGATACAAATGGCACAAGGGTAAAATCTTTGATTTGGAACCTTGGTCACTAATTTCCAGTCCAAAGTACTCGTTTGGAGAAAGTAGGGGCAAAAGTTGCTTGTTCCAGTATAGAAAGTAAAATCTTCTGAAATCTCAGACTGTCATGGAACAAGAAAGAATGTTTCTGTCAAAGCTTTCTTTATAGCATTAACTCAGATCCATATGTCACTTATGCAGTAATGGGAAAATTGTGATTAAACAAACATACTTCTCATTCCAAGCGTCCCTTGCAAAACATTTTTGGTAAATGTTTCCCTGTTTTCTAATACAATTGCTTTTTGATTCAGAAGTTCTCCATAACAGATACCTGCATGCATTTGTATATTGGCTATGCCCACTGCAACTGCCCCTCCCTACACCCTTTTTTGGGTGTAATTTGTTCAAAATTTTGGAGTTTGTAAGTTTTGCTATTAATTTATGGATCCACTTTTTCCTTCTAAAATATTTCAACTAAAAATATTGTCTTGGTACTTTCATTCATGTGGAAAGTAATAATTTATGGCAACTGTTGGAAGAATACTGTTGGTTGATGCCTTGACTACAGTAAAGTCTTTAGGATAAAGATGTTCTCTTCAGAGATAATTAGTTAAGTGTTTCTGCTGATGCCATATGTTGGCATTTATACCTCTAAATCTTAGAGAAACAGTATTCTGAGGTCAATGGTAGTATAATATATTATTTTTTGTCATTATTTCTTTTCTCTTGTAGATTTGGTACTTATTATTTACTACTGGAGGGCAATTGGTGACAAATTTTTTGTAATACATCACTTGGCAGCTCTGTATGCTTACTATTTTGTACTGGTGAGTGCTGTATTTTCCAGTAAGATAGCAAGCAGATGAGGGTGAAGGCAATGCTTTTATAGATCTCGTTTGCTTAATGTTAAAAAAATATTAACTGATGTTTTGTGAAAGGCATATTTCTATTTTAAATCCTCATTACTTTATAAATGTTTTCAGCAGTCATTTTGGGTGTGTGTCTTTGCAATATTCAAGAAAAATGTGTCCCTAACTGCTGTAATTAGAGCTCATTCCAATTTTGCTGTGGAGAGACTTTGACAAAGGGGCTTTTCACATGGTTATAGAAAAGATTTTCAAATAAAACCTCAAGCCTGAATATTTTGTTGGAAAATGAGAAGGAAATGGGTTTGAGTGTCTGTGTTCTGCTTGTGATTGTATTTGCAGGGCCATAGGTCAGAGATCCCTAACTCTAGTGAATGTAGTACAATAAGCTGGGTGTGTTATTTCGGGGGTGGTTCTTTTTCCCTTTTTCTTTTTTATACTGTTATGACAGAAACTGATCCTCTGAGATTCTTGTTTAATGTTATTTGGGTGGGGAAACAATAGATGATTAACCATATGTATCTGTAAATATCTGTGGTGTAAGTCCACTGAAGGGAAAAGGGGAAGAGAAGGATACTGCTCTAGAATAAAGACTAACTTAGTTACCCTGTGGCGTTACTTAAATTTCTCAAATATGCACATGTGGCTTGGTAGAAATCCCATTGACCTCCAGAATAATGCTCCAGAATTTCTTCCAAAGAGCATATTCATGAAAGAAAGAAATCTTATAAAATAGAATTTACAAGATTTCTTTCCCTGTCTACTGTGTGAATCCCAGGCTTACAATATTAAAAGTGTTGAGAAGTCAGATTACTGTCAGGTTTTCCATGTAATGGTTTAAAGGGGATGAAGTACACTGACAAGTAAATACTCCTTTTCAAGTTGAAGATAATTAGACCTGCTAATACTATTGTGGATAAAAATGAATTAGAGGTGAATATTAGAGAAATGTAAATACCACTACAAAGGCTAATCCCTGATGTGGAAAATTCATCAGTTGTTTCTGGAGTAAACAGAAAGTGTAGTGTTAGTATGAACTTCTTTTAAAGCAATTCTTACTGTTTGGATATAGCTCTGCTCTTGGATGTCTGTGTCTTACTCTCATTCTCTTATCTTCAGATAAAGTTACTCTGAAGTCTCTGTTTCAAAAATTGCTCTTGAAGATAGAGAATTTGATCAAGAACAGATTTTTCTGTTTGGTGTAGTGTGAGCTGACAAGAAATGCCCGAATTAGTGGGTATTAGCATGCTTGGTGAGGAAGAGCAGTCATGATGCACACCCCATAGGTTGTTCATGAGACCTGCTGGCATTTTTTAAAGAATTCTCTCTTTCTCTACATCTGGAAACAGCTGCTTACCCAGCCATTTGGTAATGGGATACTGTTTCTAGCACAACCAAATAATGAGGTAGAGAATATGTTGTTGTTTGTCACTTGGAGGAAAGTGCTTGGCTACAAGGTGTCCCCGTGTAAGTGCACCCTGCAGCTCTGGGTACTGGCACAGGGAAGAGGTGCCTCTTCCAAACCATGGGGCATGGCAGGGACTGTGACCAAACTGGTGGAAAGGGTTTCTCCTGCAGTGGGAAGCAAAAAAGAAAGGGCTTTATGTGCCCTTTCTGCTTCCAAAAAAGAGCTGCAATATCAACTTCACTTAGGCAAATTATTTTCCTAAGACAATGCAGGGACAGTTTTCTTTAGCTCACAGTGTTTCTGTTTGGACTTCTTTAAACATTGGCAAATACAAAATATTTCTACTTCTCTTAGACAGCAATAACATCATTATAATTGTAACCAATGCCTACTTGTGCTTCTACTTAGCTACCTTTCTATGGCCACTTAACTGTAAGTCTTTTAAAGATTTATTTAAAGTAAGAAGGAAAATTGCAGCTTTTATAGTAAACCTCCTTTTGAAATTTCAAGTTGGCCACAGTTGGCAGACTTGCTTACTAACAGGTTTAATAAGGAAGTTGAGACATTGTATAATTCTGTGTGTACTTGAAGACTTTAATCAAGATTTCATATCTACATTGTTGATTTTTGTGTGTCTCTTTTGTTTTGCTAACCAGAGCAAAGGTCTGTTGGCTTATTTTGGAAACTTCCGTCTGCTTGCAGAGTTTTCCACTCCTTTTGTCAATCAGCGGTAAGTGGTTAGGGATTCTCTTTTGCATATTTCTCTTTAAATTTTAATCGATATTATTATTTCTTTCACTTAGGAAGGTTTTTTTGTTATCGTTGTTGAATGTCTGCTGAAAGTGAATTTATATATATTGAACTAAGGAATACTATGTGAAAACCTTTTTTGCTATGAAAACTTTTTGCTGCTATAGTTGCAACAGTATAAATAATTTACTCACCTTGGGGTTTTTCTTTAGAGTAGAGCAGCTTTCATATGAGATGCCAAATTTTTATGAAAGGACTGAACATAAAAGCTTACAAATGTAATACTGTTTATTTGCCTTTTAATGTTCATTTAATTATTATAATAAAGCCATAATTTTCAATAGGGATTTTTTTTTAGTATCATGGACCAGGCAAAGAAGGAAGTTAACATTGTAATCAGAATCCTAGAATGGAATTACATTGCCCTAGATCATTTGAAGTTTAATTTGCAATACTTTACTTATACAGATTAATATTAATATTATATAATTATAATTAATACTTAGAATAATAAAAAAGTATATTCTTTTTTTAAAAAAACAATTCCAGAAATGAGTTTGGACACTTAAATTATAAAAATAGTAAAGCATCTAAATATATCCAGTATGGTTAATCTTCACACTTGTGATCAGAGAAGAAAGTGGCAGAAGGCTCTTCATCAGAGCTCAGTCAGAGCCAAAGCCTGATGTGGGTTCTGGTTATAGTGTTGCTACTAGGATCACTGCTGAGTATCAGAAAAGGAACAAGATAATAAATATCATGTACCAGAGGCAGGGAAGAGCAGTCAGTCTAGTCTCCCCATGCTCTGGGGAGGGTGAACTTTCTCCTTACTCTTTAGCCACCAAGATCCGTTTGGGGACAGGGATTTGCCCCAGGAAGACTTCAGCTCAGGAGAGGGGCTTTGCTATAGGGCAGTGCTGCAGTCCTCTCCTCTTCCTCCATTATTTTGCCATGTGTAGGATCAGATCTTTCAGTGTATCAGATGCCTATTCCTCACCCATACTTCTTGGGATATATTTTTACTTTACTGATCCTACATAGGTGGCATCTGTTTTTGTTTTGTTTGTTTTCTAGGAGTCTGGTAAGAAAGGATGTGGTTTGTAAGGCAAATAAGAGCTGTAATCCTCCTGCAAACAGGGAATCTGAGTATTACCCATTGCTGCATTGTGTCTGTAAGCTCTGAAATATTTTATGAGACTGTAGCATTCCTCAGATCTTTAAGAATAAAAAAAACTTAGCTGAGATCCCTTTCAAACATTAGCTTGGCAAATTCAGTTTGCAGGAGGGCAGGGTGGGATAATGGAGCTCTCCAGAGGTTGCTTTCATTTTCCCAAGCACAGTTGAGTAGGAGATTATAGTTCAATACAGTTTGTGCTCCGTGTGCACAGAGAAACTGAGGAGTAAATGAACACCTCTTTAAACTTATTTTAATAACACAAGGAAGAGGAGAGTAAAAAATTGAAAAAAGGTGTTATTACATTCTAGGTTTCTATATTGAAATTCCTGTGCTAGTGAATGGCCATTCTCCCAACTTTATCAATATAGGATTTCACCCTGGGTTTATGTGGTACCTATACTCATGTTTACCTTTCAGGCTTGGCATTATGAAGTATTGTGATAGATCTGGCTGTTAACTGTAATATACATTACACTTTCAAAATGCCTATGGTGAGATCATGTGTCTTTGAATACCGACATTTACTGCTTTCTCAGGAAAAAGGAAATCACTGTAGGAGATAATAAAGCCCCTTGCCTCTAAGGGATCTCATCTCATTAGTGCCTGAATAGTTGGCTTTTTTTCATTAAATTTGAAGAGAACCAGACCCTTAAGACAGTAAGTAGTGGATAATGATAATGACTTACATTATGTTTCTTATTTGCATTCTTAGTATTACTAAAATATAAAGTGAACTCTTCTCAGAACTGTAGTACTTTCTTTGCATTTCCTGTCTGTGTTGGTAGGGGTATCTAATTGAATGTTGTCTCCATGCCAAGCGTTTTAGATCTTTTAATATTAATATCAGTGTTTATGTAATTAATTATGAACTGTGGTGGGTAAAATTTAATGATAACTGTGATTTACTGACCTTCTTAAAATTTGCTCAGAGAGGGAAGTTGCTAAGCAGATGTCCATTTACCTATATTGGCACTCTACAGTATATTTTAAAGTATTTTTTTATATTGCTTATGGAATCTGCATTGTATGTATCAATAAATATCTGACCAAATATATCAGGTCTCTCTCTTCATCATCCCAGTATTTCTGTGGTGAGGCATCCTGCTTCCAGGCTGGACTGCCACCTTGAGTGTCTGGATTTTAATTGTCTCAGTTGCACCTTTAATGAATTCCTGAAGTATTTATGTTAGAGCTGCATGTCTGGCAATTCTTTCCAGTACATCTATAATTGCCTAGGCTGTAATCTGTAGGTAATTAAATTAAAAATTACTTTTAAAACTAGTTTTAGAACTGTTATTTTTAAAATAGTTTTACCTTCATCTCTTCTTAGAAATAAACTGATTATTCCGCTTCCTCCCCATCTGCTATAATGAATACAGTGATTTAAATAAATTTCCTCCAGTCCTCTCTTTAACTTGCCATTGTTGAACAAATTTTACTTGTGTTTATGTTGTTTTAAGCGTAAATGATATAGAATTAGAGGAGTTTGTTCTTTTTTCTAGGATTTCAACCCACAGATTCTGTGTACAAGGCAATATATGTTATGTCTCTTTAGTAAGGAATTAGTATGCAAGAATTTTTTTAAGGACTGCTTGTGATCCAGTAGTAATAGCAGGAAAGGTTTTTTTTAGATTTATCTTTTTCATTGTGTAACAACATACCCAGCTGTGACATGGTCCAGTGCCATTTACATTGTCTGGTTCTGAAGTTCTGGCTTTGGGCTGAACGGAAGGAGTCAGAAAATCCCAAAGCTGAGGAGCTGAAAAGAGCTTTAGATAGATTACCATATCCAAAGAAAATGCTGGAACTGCTTTCAGGGAAACAAATAGAATTTTAGTTACCCCTTGGTGCAAACTAGGGTAACAAGTAATAAATTTGTATTTATAACTTTAAAAGAGAATTTGAATTACAGTGTATTTTACAGTAGTCTCTGAAGTGCACACTTGTTGTCAACTGGTTTACAATTCAAATCAAGATTTTCTACATGCTATTCTACAATGTACTGGATTTTGTACTCTTTTTATGTGGGGAAAGAAATATGCATCCAAGCAAAAAAATTTGCAACTAAGCCAAGGCACTGTACAATAATTTAGAAATTATAAGGGTAGAAGCAATTAATAAATTATTAATGAAAATAATTAAATAAAATAATTTAAAAATGAGATTACTTCAAAGCTGCCTGCCTGGTATCTGTGAACACTTCTTTTGCAGGTGGTTTTTTGAAGTACTAGGATATCCCAAATCTTCAAAGGCCAACATCATCAATGGGGTGCTGATGACAGTCGTGTTCTTCGTGGTGAGGATTGCTGTCATGCCTGTGTATTACACCCATGTCATTTCTTCATTTGGAACAGAGGCTTTCCAGAGATTAGGATTTGCAGCCCAGAGCGCCTGGATTATCTCAAGTGTTGTCCTGGATGTTATGAATGTGATGTGGATGGTCAAAATTGCAAAAGGATGCTACAAAGTCATTTGTCTTATTGGACAGGAGGAAGCCAAAACACACAGAAATGGAAAATCTGCCTAGAAATCATATGCATAAAATGAAATTTCTGCTATGAAAATCATTTAAGTTCACTAAAACAGTGCACATTTCTGCCATGGAATGCTCCTCTTAAGGAAACAAGGTATTACCTCTGTACTGACCTTACTCTTCCCCTAGCCACACTGCCTGCACACCCAGGGCCACGCTTTATGGATCCTGTCTGGTGAGGAATAAAAGCAAAAGCTCACACAGTGAGTTCCACGTCTCTGTTCTAAGCAGTTACAAGCTACTGGAATTCAGAAGGAGCAGACTGGTTACTTGCTTGTTGTCCACCAATGTGTTGAAATTGTTCCACTCAGGTTTCTCAGATTGATGTGTTTTATAAACCCAGTAAATACTGACATCTCTCCTTTTTTAGAAAACAAAAAAACCTCCCCAAATTCCCAGTAATGGTGCGATTTTCCTTGCACATTTCTATGCTTTCTTCTAGGAATAACAATCAAGATTTCATTCTTGACAACTTTTTAAATTTTGCAAGTACAGCTAAAAATGTAGCTTTGATTCTGTGAAGTCTTTTACTGCTTTTTGTTCTGCCTTATAGGAATGCAAACTATTTTGGGAAATTTAAGAAATAATTTTATCTAAAATGCTGTATTATAAGACTTCAAAATATCTTAAAAATTGTTAAAATTCTCTGCTTTTGATGGGAATGATTCACTTTTGATGTGTTAGATTACATGCAATAGTACATCATCTAAATTGCCTGTGGAATTTTGTTTTGTAAGTCAGTATGGTAAATGATGTGTGGAAACCTCTCTCCTACTGGAGTGCTTTTTCCTTTGCTGCTGCTACCTATGAGAAGTGCTGCAACTGTCCTCAGAGTATTTTTAACCATTGGCTCTCTGGATGCAAATTTTAGTTATAAGGAGATAAAATTCTTCTCCTTGTGATGAGTAATATTTTTTTTCTTTTATCACAGAAATGACCCATTTGATATGAAGTCTTGAGGTTTTGCTGGTCACATTTTTCCATGTTAATGACATCAGAAGTTTGAGGTGTTGACTAAAAACATTCTTAAATTAACAGTGACAAACTTCTGTAAAGCTGAATGGTGGTTCTGTAGAATGACAGTTCACTTCTGTAGGTGCAACATTATTTATTTTTTAAACCACATATTTGTCAATAAATACTCTGTTCCTTCTGCTAACTTAAAGGTTTGGAGGGCATCAGAGAGGAATCCTACCATCCAGGAATAATCTGGAATCTAATTTATAATACAATTTAAGGAAATTCTGATTTTTGTTTTATTTCTGAATGATTTTGAGAGTTTTATTTGTGCGTAGTTTGGTTTTGTTTTGCTTATTTTTAACCATATTTTAATTGAGGCTGACTAACTCCTTTTTTTTTCTTTTCCTTAGGTGGGTGTTTTTTTTGTTTGGGTTTTTTTTTTCACATTTGTGGTACCTTCTGGCAAGGCCTGTTAAAAGTATCCATTTTCAGGCAGTACTTCAGTGCGTATCCCAATCATTGTAGCACACTTTAAGCAATTTTGTTTTGAACAAAAAGAGAAAATACCCAGTGTAACCCTCTAACAAAGCTGGGTGACATGAGCTCTCCCCTCTGTAATGGGAGGTGTGAGTGCTCCAACACTGTGATCCTGGGTGAGGGACGCAGCGTTCCCGTCTTCCAGGAATGGGATGTTTCTAAGACCCCAGAAGGCTGCAAAGGCTGAAATGCTTCATGTTGAAGATGGCTGTGCTGAGTTTAGTTCCCCAGCAGAAATTATGTCAGGGACTATTGTTTGGACTACCATAATACACACTTTTATAAAGCCCCATTTTGCTGTTCAACTGGGCAGGCTTTTTTCCAAAACCCTTTCCCAATCCTGCCTTGTTAAGTGAGATATCAAGGATTGTTAATACTTCTGTTGGTTTGATTCTGTGCTTATTAATACTTCACAAGCTTGCAGACAAAAGATCCGTTTATACCTTGGGAAAGCTGGCAATTAATCTGTTTAGCTGTAGGATTTGAGTGAGTGGAGTACTTTAATTGGGTACCAGTACATCCATACTCTTTGAGAGCTGATCCTGTGACCTGCTTTGATTTTAAAATCATGATTTCAGTGTATCTAATGCAAAATCTAGGCTATAAACAAAGGCTCTGTTTTTATCACCTTTATGATTCAAAGGTGTACATGAAATACTTTTTTCTTGCACTATTTAAGTCAGGAAGTAATTTTGTAATAGTTTGTTCCTTTCTAAATTTTAAAATTGAGTCAAAACACTTTGGATAATATGTTTGAATGTAGAAGTCTGCTCTTTTTATTCTGGAAGTAGAACGGGAAAAAGTTGGAAGACAATTTGAGGCAAACTTGAGGCAATTGGAGGCAAACTTGAGGTTGATAACTCATGAAAACTTTTTTTAAATTCATCCCTTAGCATAATCTGTAATATTTCAGCATTTTGAATTATTTTTTTTCAATGGAGAACATTCATTTTAATGGTCTACATCCAAACTCATGTCTGATGGGGAGGGAAAAAAGTAAGTCAAGCTATAATAAAACTACATTAAAACTAGATTGAAGTAAAACTAAACCAAACCCCTGCATTGCACTTTGGGCAACAATGCAGAATGGAAGGGCAGTGAGATAATTATTTTAAAATATTACATATTTTGGATTGCAGAACAAAACTAATGTAATTAAAACAATATTTTGCAATGTATTTGATTTAAATTGTGTAATTAAATTTTAAACCTGTTATGTCCTGATGCATCAGCTATGTATCAGAAGACAACTAATGAAAAAATTATCAACACTTGTCTATTCAGCAAGAACTGTAGTAAACAGGCTGCAAAGTTGTGATGTACTAAATACATTAGTATAGGGCACTTTTAAACTGCCTTTAAAAGCTTATAATACAGCAAATTAGATAGCTGTGGCACCTGTTTTTCAATTGCACTTTGTTAATTTAAAATCTGTGGTGGAATATGAATACAGTTTAATGTTGCAAGCTTATTTCTTTGGGGTTTTTTTACAAAAAAAACTTAATGCATGGTAAGTAGCATCATAATAAATGCTACCTTTGGAATGTAATACTATCTTATTAGTGGCTTAAAACTTCTGGTTTTAAAAGATGCATAAATAGACTCCTCGTATGTCACCAGGTGTCTTTGCCTTGCACATATCAAATGGAAGGAGTTAATCTTGTATAAAATGCTCAGTTGTCTTGTTTTCGGTTTTGTTGTTGTCGGGGTTTTTTTTTCTTTCTTTTTACATTCTTCAGTACCAGGTGACATAAAATTAGCAAGAGGATCATGGGAGAATTTATTTGTACCTGTAAGTCTATGTAGGAATGCAAGTTTCCCTTTTTTATGGCTTTACTTTTTCATCAAAAGATGAGTAGATGCCACTTTCAGAACTACTACCTGGGCATGGTAGGTCAAGTTTTGTTTTTATAATTGATTTGTGGATACAGCACTTACAGAGGGGACGTGTACTTCAAGTACTCCTTTTCTGGGTGAGTGTTCCAGTGGATTTCAGTGAAGTCGAGAGCCTTACACTACAGAGATGCTTTATGGGTTATCTGTGTGCATTCTTCAGTGGTAAGAATTCCATCTCTGAAGCCTACTCTACCTCTATAAATACATGCTATCTTGAATGAACTCAATAATTTAATAACTTAATTGCTTAAAAAATAGAATATTTTGAATAATGAAGAATATCCTATGCACAGGAAAATGAGGGGAGCTGATTTTTTATATAAATTCGTAACAATTCTAAATTTTGTATTAAAGATGAAATTAATAACAGTGTCTGAAACATAATTGCTTCCATCTTCACTTAAGGAAATCATGGGAGAAGATTACTCATAATGCAGAACTAACATTAAGCTAAGTGTGAAAGCTTACACAAGTGAGCAAATGTGTTCAAGCACGTTTAAAGAACAGAGGTGGAGGAGACTGAGAACACAAATAGAGGTATTCAGATGTCTTCCTACTGCTGTGCTTGGGGCAGCAGCAGACTGATACGTAGCAGAAAGGTTTAAGTATTTCTGTATCTGTTAATAGTGAAAAATCAAACTATTCTTTAAAATGTTCAGGCTGTATAAAATGGGTTATCAGTTGTTGATTGCTGTACGAAGAGGACTTTTTCTCATGGTCTTGTGTGCATTTAAGTATATGTGGAGACAAGCTTTCAGCAAAAGATCATTTAATAGGGAAGTTTGTAAAATTGTTTTGTGGTGCTTCTACTGAGCCATACAGATGAAAATAAAGGTCTGCTTGACAATTACTCCAGCTTAGGATCTGTGCAGTGTTGGCTGCTGGTGAAAGTGACAATAATGCAAATAGAAGGCAACTGTAGTTTTCAGATGAAAAAAAAAAATGCAAGTGTAGAAAACATAAGATAGAATGGGCAGCCCTCTTTCATATTTGTAATGGCCTACTGTACAACATCATTATCTGGCTAGAAGGAATTGCATGAGGAAGGATCTGTTCCCGGGGGAGTTTCTCTATCTATGGAATATTTTTGACAGCTGGAAAAAGAACAGTACTTCATTGCTGAGATCCTGAGAGCAGTCAAATGGAAATAGTGATCAATATTTATGGACAATTACAAACCTGGGCAAAATATCGTTTGTCTTAGGATTTTCTGAAAGAAACTTGAAAGTTTGTGGGTTTTGTTGTTTGTTTTTTTGTTTGTTTGGTTTTGTGTTGTTTTTTTTTGAGAAGATGAAAGATGTACTGCTTGGGATGTTTAGAGAACTGGGATTAAGCAACAAATCATACTTTTATGTTGTAACACTTGGTAAGGTTTCTTATCCACTACAAATCTCTACTAGCTACCTCCTTTGAAATTCTTGCTCTATTTATAATTGCCAAGCACTTTATAGCTCAGTAAAGAATGGAAGGGTAGCTATGAAGAATAAATTGTATTGTCTGGTATAAGAAATATTTTAGCAACATTTTCATTGTGTGATGTCCTGCACTGAGAGGGCATCTGATTATAACTTTGTATATAGTTTTTTAGTTGTAGTGTAAAGGAAATGTCTTCAAGAGATTGAATTATGAAGAGTTCAGCATGGCTTGGTATCAACCATATAATGATTCAGTGTGCTATTTATAACTTCCTACTTACTGAAATTGAAAATTTAAAAGGAAATAAAATATTCTGTAGTGTATCTTTATTTAAAATCTATGTGTGGGATGTCAAACATTGTACTTATCTTGTGGGTAGGACATGCTTTTATGAGCCTAAAAATATTTAAATATGAGAAACTGCATCCAAGTGTTGCATGTAAATTGTCTTCTAGGTTTTTAAACTTTGGAATTTTAAAAAATTTGCTAGGTTTGAAAGCAACATTTGAATATGAATACTAAGCTGTAATACAGAACATAATGTTTTGAATGCAATATTGGTTTTGTTTATTGTAACCCTATTCCAGTTTCACAAAAGAAATCCATCATATGATGGGAGAAAAGGAAAAAAAAGGGCTAGTCATGAGCTCGGCTATATAATTTGCACACTTAATATGCACACATTCAGATATCTTGGATTTGTTTCTAGCATGTATATACCAAACAGTGTTTCCTTTAATATTGACAGATACCTGTATATGTGGAATCATTTAACATGTAAGCACAGCTAACCTGATATAAAACCACATTATGAAAATGACTGGGAGCAAATGAGTTACAAATTAGGCATAAGTAATGGAGCCTGTAATTAAAAAAACTTTCTACAATAGTCTATCTAAGAAGAAACTTTTATAAATATATCTAACTTATGTGCAGAGCAAGGACAGAAACTAAATTCTGCTAGACTGATTTCTGGTAAATCTTGACAATCTGATTTGCAGTAAATACTTTGTCACAAAATGTCAGGATTGCATTATTAAATTCAAATAGTAATGTGGCCTGACTAGTAGCAATCCTTATCATGGCACAAGGACTTAAAAATGCAATATAACAATTTTGCAGAATTCTGATAAAAGTAATCAGTCATAGTGAGGTGAATGATTAAGTTATTATGGGTTTAAATTTACTTTTTATTATTAAAAAAATCTGAATGACTTGTTTGCGTTTCAGTGATATTGTAAAGCATTTTATATTTTGTTTGACCTGTTTAGGAGCTTGCATTAAATGATATTGGCTGATTTTTTTTTTCCCTTTGATATATGCAATAATGTCAATAAGCAATAAATTGCATGTTGTATGCAAGGTATCAGTACTTCATAATAAAGGAAAGGAACACAGTTTCTTATTTCATGTATCTTATTTCTGTGTTAATATGGCAATGACTTAGATATCTCTAATGGATACATCAGGAAAAGACAACATTTTTTAGGTTAATTTCAGAAAAAAAAATGCCTTATAAATGATATCTTGAAATTTCATGCTGTATAATTTTTTCAAAAGGAGGGAGTGTGAAATCTGAGCCAGACTGGTTTTTAGCTGGCTGGGCTTTTAAAGGCTGAAGTTCCGTGTAGGCCATCACTGGAGCCAGGAATGTAACTTTATAAATTTTGTGCTGTATTGAGGAAAAAAACTGATATCAGATAGTATAGTTATATTAAAACGCCACATTTTTCAGGACATAGCTGGCCAGTTGTCTGAGGGCTCTAGGGATAAAGAGCTACTGTTGTCAGCATATTATAAATGTGATGCACTACACAGCCCCTCACTGAATACTAAGATGGGCAGTTGGGTTCCTTAATATGGCAATTCCTAGATTCTGGGAAGTATAGATTGTGTGGTAAAACTCAGAAGTCTACTCAGAGGAAGTTGCTGCTCTTTAATATCATAACCATTGGCTTTACAAACACAGGAATTGCTCATCTTTGAGTTGCTTGGTTGTTTGGTTTTGTTTGTTTGTTTGTTTTTCTATTATGTGATGGTTACATTACTAGTAGAAAGCATAAAGCATTCCAGTGTTTTGTACTTTTTTTCTTCTAGTCTTTTAAGGGGTATTTAGCTTTATTAGTAAATTTTATTCTTGGGGTAATAATTTTACACTGTTAGTGCAGAAAACTATGCATTAATGAGTTGGTCTGTTTGGAAGTAACTGGGAATGTCTGGAAATGTTATTTGGGGTCAGATGCTATATAGGTCAGATTTCTAACTGCTTGAGGAAGGACAATGAGGGCTTGAGAGGCTTTCATGTTGGCACTGAGCAGCTTTTAGCACTGGGTGCTGGAAAGGAAGAACTAAGCATGGCTGAGAACAAGAGATGCCTTTCAGGGAGCCGCTCTTAACCTGGCAAATCCAACAACTCTTGTGTGAAGTGTGAGAAACATACAACTTCCTAAGATGTGGGATATGTAAAGTATTTTGTACATTCACTTATTTTTCTTGTTCTTGTACAAAGCTGCTCTTAATTTTGTCCCAAATTTTAACTTATTACTCCTTGTTCTTGCTGAAAACCTTTCTGTACTTGTCTTGGTGTAATAATTCTGCATTAGGGAGGTTGGTTGGGATTTTTTTTGGGTGGGGAAGAGTGGGGTGTTTTTTGTTGTTTGGGTTTTTTTTCATTTAATCTTCACCTTGGATATCTGTAATTTTTTAGATGGTGAACTACTTCTGTGAGCATCTTCTTATTCTGCTCTGCTTTTCTGGACTTTACAGTGTAATATACGTGAGAGTAGATTGTGTGCTTTGTTCTTTGTAATTGAGGAAAAGGTATTTGCTACTTGGCTTATCTTCCAAAGGTGAAAACTATTATCTGCACAATGACTAATAAGTATTGCAATTGTTGCTGCTGCTGGAGTATGATGGTGGAAAGCAGGGAGCCAGTGTACAGACATCAACAGCATCATGTACTTAGAGAGGAGGGTGTAGAACCAATTCCCGGTTTCAGAACATCAAAAAGAGAAAATGTGCTTTGCCTCAGGGTCATTTTGCCACTGACTTGAAGTATTTGGAAGCAGAGATGTCAGTTTATCCACAAGAGACGTACTGAACTGCATTGTCAAGTACAGCGAGGATGAAAATGATGGTGTCTTGTTTAGTGCTGCTTAGACAGTTGTTACTGTGAATGCAGTAAGAGTCTTGGAGATTTCAGCAAAGCCAAATAGGCCTAAAACTTCGAACAGTGATGGAGACAACCATGATGTTTAATAAGACACACAGAAGAGAGTCAATTAACTGATGTGGTGCCACTTTCCTTACAGATTCTCAGTAGGCTGTGCTAGTAATTCCTGCATGCGGAAGGGGCAGGGAACAGTTTTCTCTTACATAATAAAGATTGCAAAAGGGCAAAAACTCATGAAAGGCTGGATATTTGATATTTTTTTATGCTTGTATTTTTATTTCATGTTCACGCTGAATGGCAATCTGCTAATTAATAAGAAAATCCTGTTTTGAAAGATGGTATGTGAGCATGTTCTCAAAAGCAGTCAAGAGGAATGTATAAAGTAAGCTTTTTTTTGAATTCAGGTAGGTACATAATTTGAAATGGCGTTAGAACAGCTTCAATGTAGTTTAGATTTTTTTCTTTATTAATCTTTCTGATCCTTTTCAAAACAAACGGGAATCACTAGTTTCTTTTTTAACACCAAAACACACGCCCAGGGTGGCAGAAACCCCTCTTCCAGATTGGAGTTTGTGTTTTCTTCATTCCGAGTTAATGCAGTAACGGGTTACCCGGAGCCCCAGCGCCGCGGGGCCCCTGGAGGCCGCTGCCCGCGGGCACAGGCCTCGGCCGGGAGCAGCTCCGGGCGGCACGGCGGCTGCCGGGGAGCGG